AATAAACTGTCCGAGTAGAAGTGGCGTTGGCATTTAGCTATTTCAACAGTAAAACGGCGAGTCCTCGATGCCAATCTAATAGCACGATTAAATTCATGTTACAGGGACATATATGGCAGTAAATTTTGGACAGTCTTCTCACAGATGGAGCAGGGACTTGAAGAAACAGAAAGTTCTACAGAAGGATGCTGAGAATAACATGGACCGAAATTTTAAACAGCGAGGATTTTTTTAGAGAAAACTCGATCAAAAAGCACACCTTTATTTAACATCAGCAAGTGGCTGTTGAAAATTATCATGCAAATAACGAAGAAAGAAAGTTCAGAAAATATTACACTCACAAGTAAAAAGGGAGAGAGAGAGAGAGAGAGAGGGAGAGAGAGAGAGAAACAGCGCACTAATTATCTAACAAATTTGTGTAAATGGATGGCGGAAATGGTTTTAAGAAAGATAAAAAAAGGCAAAGAGCTACAAAAAGGACGGGACATTGTGGAGAGCCATGATCGCTAATGCTTTCAATGGACATGTCATACAGAATAAGAAGATTTTAAATGTATGGCGAAGCAATTTTTAGGAGAGGTAAAAAAAGACAACGTTTATTAAGAGCTACAAAGGATACGAAATTGTGAAGAGCCATGATTGCCAACGTCCTGAAGGGACACGGCATAATAAAGAAAAAGACAAGGACTCATGTCTAATATCACATTAATGAAGTCAGACGATCGGTTTACTGTTTTTACTTTCATATATGCTTTATTGTGATATATTTATTTTAAGTATTTAAAAATCGAATTCTCTTTCGGTTTCTATAAGTACACAGGATCCGTCCACGATATTCTCAGCATCCTTCTGTAGAACCACATCTCTATTGTCTCAAGTCTCCTTTTCATCTGTGGGGAAATTCTTCCACAGTTACTGCCACTGCCACATATGTTGATTTATATTACATTGCAGTTCAGAAATCTTTTTCTTCTTTTCTTAAAAGACTTGACCTGTTCAAGTCGAGCTTTAAATGGTGATACTCACACAGGTACATATCCGCTAACACACATAGCTATAAAAATGCAAATATTAATACGCACTAACCCACACTAACATGCATCTATACCTATCAAATTATTTGTATAGATGCAAAAACTCGGTTGGCCACTCGGAAAATATAACCAATTTTGCACTTGTAAAATTACTTCAACATAACCGTCAATTTAGGACGACACGGGTCGTAGGAGCCTTGAGCGGATATTTTTAATTGTATTGATCTAGAAATTCTCGCTTACAAGCGACAATAGTTGAAATTGTATAGATAACATTCTAGATAACTCATGCGGAAAATAATACCAATTTAACGGCACAATTACTGAAATCGGGCCATCAATTTTAGACAGTATAGAGAAACAAGTTTTAAAGAATTTTCGTTCGTTATTCTCTCTCTCTCTCTCTCTCTATATATATATATATATATATATATATATATATATATGTATATATATATGTTCGATATTTTTAAAAAAAATTGGAATGTTCTATCGTCTTCGTCTATATATAGTTTAGCTTTATTTCCCAAGCGTCAAAACGGGACAGTTTCAATTTTTACTGTAGGTTTAATTTTCTTGGATATTAGAGTGTTTTAAAACTCAACACCCTCCAGCTTCACGACTGACACATCCGTATGCATAGACATAAACCTAGAATAAATATAAATATTCACATACACATACAATTGCTCACACACATACACACACACCTATGAAAATAAAAATACCCACGCACACATATATACATCTATAAATAAAAAAATACTCGCACATATACACATACATATACATATATTCACACCTATATAAATAAAAGTACTCATAAAAACTCACTCGCACACATATATCTATTAAAAATAGAAATACCCATACATATATACACAAACTAAGAACACATACACACACTTACGAAAAAATACTAATACTCACACACGCTCACATCCACTCACATATAAAATACAAATACTCATGCACACTCACACAAACTACACGCACCTACACCTATAAAAATACTAGTACTCAACACACACTCACCCACATATACTTATACCAATAAAAATGCAAATACTCATACACTCTCATACGAATAAACAATTATTTCTATAATAAATACAATTACTTGTATACATCCACACTCGCGTCTATACGCATGCACATATACACACCTATAAAAACACTAGTACTCACACATACACAACTACGCACACGCACACACATATATACATAACAATAAAAATACATAGTCATACACACACACACTCACAAGAACACACACTTATGTCTATAGTAAACACAATTATACGTGTATAAAGTAATAGTATTTATTATAGAAATAGGTGTTTATATGCAATTACTTGTATAGACACACACACATTTATAAAAAATGAGGATAGTGATAATTTTTATTACCGGAAGTCTAGTCAGGTGAACACTTCTCAGAAAATATCTAAGTATAGTATAATCTATTTCAGAATAAACCCCGAGGTATGATTGGTGCCAGCCTATGTGGGGTTTTTAAAACAGCCTAATCATCCCTCTTAGTTCAGTTTATACACTATTCTGTTATTCGTAATAACCACTGCTTTTCTTAACGAGAAGGTTATGTGATGTCAACACTCTATAAACTGTTCGTAATAACGGATAAGAATTCCTTAAACAGTAATAAGGAATCCATATTTCTAATATGGAAGTAATATAGTTGTTGGGTAAAAGAATACAAGCTATTCTAGAGTAAATATCTAAAGTTAACCACCAAGAAGAATGAAACGTTGCGCCTTCTCTGGGTCTCGGTTTTCGCTAACATGAATCATAAGGATTTCATTGAATCAATTGCTAGTTTTGTTGCTACGAAATATGGTTCACTGCTTCGGACTCGAAGATTTATTTTCTCTCCAGGATCTATCTTAGATATTTATAAGTCTGACATGCTTATAATCTGGCTGCTGATCTCAGAAAGGACCTCCAATCTGTGGTTAACTGGGACAGGAAATGGCTTGTAAACTTTAATGCCTCCAAAACGAAACTGCTCTCCTTTACCAACATAAGAGAACCCTTCCTGCTTCCATCAGAATGACTGATTCCCAACTCCTTGATAGCGCCTGTTTGGTCTCACACTGTCCACTGACATGAGGTGGAATAAATACATTGGATCAATAGCTACATCAACCGCAAGGATATTTGGCTATCTGTGTCCTGCCAGAAAGTTATTCTCGTCTGAGTCCTTCCTTCAAATCTATAAATCAACCATCCGTCCTTGCATGGAATATTGCTGTTATATATGGTCTGGTGCTCCTGTTGTACGTCTCGAGACGAATAAGCAAGAGGACAGCTCCTGATCTGGCATCTAATCTACAATCGAGAGTTGCAGTCTGGGGAGTTAGGTGGCCACGCGTGATGTTGTTGTAGAAACTGTCATGACTGTGTACATCTGCTTTAGTGCCAAGATGCAGAGTCCTGTTGGACGACATAAGGTCTTCCAGCAGCCACTCTCTTGGCCCCGGGCAGCACTACCCACTCAAGGCACTTGATGTAGGGGTCCATGTTCAGGCTGATGCCCTGTGGGAAAATCAATGATAGCATTAGGAATGATCATTACAAACAACTTCCTAATCAGCATTGTCCTCAGATTGACTCCCAAAACACTCTAAAATGTTTGTTTTTTTTTTTTTAAGCATTACGCCCCGAGCAAGGCGTGAAGCCACTAGGATGCAGGAGGTTGCAGAAGATTTGGAGCGAGAGCAGATAGGAGTGATAGAAGAAAGGATGAGGAGAGGGATAGTGGATAGATCAAGGTAACTGGAGGTGTTGATTGACATTACATTTGAAAAGTTGGAGATTATAGCTCTCAGGGAAACAGTAATTAGGAAGGGTGTTGAGCTTCCGGTGCGAATGCCAAGTAGTAATGCATGACTTTTAAATTTTCTGACAGAGTGAATTGCGTCATGGTTCGCTTTATCTCACAGAGGGTGCCCAACTGACTCGACTATTTGTGCAGGCAACAATATCAAAAACAAACGACGCGCATGCGCGAAATTCAAAATATAAAATGGCGACAATTTACCGAATCGTACCCTGTATATTTAGAGATCCTCAATAAAATCCAAAGAAAAATGTACAATATCACTGGTCCTGAACTGGCATCTAGGCTTCAAGTCATTTTCCTACCACCGTAATGTAGCTTCCTTGAGATTTATCTATAAATATTTTCGAAATAATCGTTCTGTTAGTATTTCATGTATGGTACCTAGACTCCATACATTTATGTGCATTACAAGATTCGTGGCAAGCCCTCTTCCCTTTACAATTGAAATTACAAGATATAACCGTAAGTTCTATGCTGACAATATCTTCTCTCGCAGTTCTCTGTTGTGGAAATCGCTATCAGTTTCATGAGTTCCAACACAGCAATATCAATCATTATCTTCTGTTGTTTTATTGTTCTTTGTCCTTAATAATGTTTTCTTTTCTTTCACACTCAATAACCTCCTCCGCGTCTTAGTGGCTTCATTACCTCTCTTCAGGTGAAAGGATAAAAATGCAGACGTTTTCATCGTGAAATATTATAATTCTTGTTACAGTAAATATAAAAGAACAGTGGTCAATTACAAAAATCATTTGAACAAAACCAATCGGAATAAATTAGAGAGCTCTAAAATGTACACGAATAATTTCTGCGGGCGTCTGGTACGGGATGGTAAAGGTTTTTACATTATTAGCCGTTTTCCCTATAAGGAAATATTTGGCATTCATTGACAGAGCAATCTGTAGTACTTTCAAATGAAGTTTATAAACTGAAGACAATCTTTCAGGAAAATAGGTTTCTCATGTCCAGTAGCTGCTATCCCTCTTTCCCGTATAAATGGAGTTTTCCTTCCTAACTTTTTATTTGGTGTAGTGCAGAATATCAATATCTTCATTATATCATTATTTTCTCTTCGAGTTACCTGTGCTCTTCAGCTGTTGCTGATGTTGGTAATCCTCAAGTGATGTGGTTTCTCTAATTTGGTACAGGTCTTTGTGATTTCTTCATCGCCCGTCCGCAGTGTTCGAAGGGGGGTGATCTTTACCAAAACCCCGAGGTTTCACCTACTGAAAACGTTATCCTATTATCATGATTAGAGGAGAAATTTAGTTGAGGGCATATTCTGCCTTACAAGAGATATTTCACTCCAGCCTACCTTAAACAACACTTCTTAAAGATAATTATTATTGATATTATTACTGTAGTATTGTGGTTTAGGTCTGAGATCGTTAACACATCGGAAGTTGACTCATGGTCGACTTGCCTTGAATATTTATTTTAATTTCCATTTTTTTTTTTTTTATCTTGCTGTTCAATCATTTGTATTTTTCTTAACTTCATTATTAATGACATTGTTAATGATTTAGCAATTCGTCTTGGCGAATGTCCTGTTGGCTGACAATTTTTCCCACGCCTATTATAAAAGGCATTACAATAATATAATGAGAAGTCGCATGGCTGGAAAGGAAAAATAAAATCTGCTTTCTGAAGAAACTAAAATAAAAAAAAATAAAAAAGTTATAAATTATGAGTCGAAATCAAAAATATGGAAAATACGTAATTTCAAAAAAAAATCATTTAAATAACATGGAATGTTATTAAAAATTTCACGAAAATTTTGTTTACCGAATTTGTTTTTTGGGTTATTTTTTTTTTTTTTCTTTGGCGGGAAGTGGGGGCTCATATCGAAAATTCGTCAAAAATATTTTTTTTTCTCTCTTTACATTTTTAAACAGCCTTCTGAATTCCGTTTATTTCATTGTCTCTTTATCTCTCTCTTTCTCTCTCTCTTTCACTTTATCTGTCTCTTTCTATCTCTCTTTCTCTTTACCTACCTTTCTTTTTTACTCTCTCTCTCTCACTTACTTTCTCTCTCTCCTTTTTTCTCCCTTTCTTATCTCTTCTCTTTTCATCTCTCTTTCTCTCTCTTTCTCTCTCTCTCTCTTTCCTTTCTGACTTTTCTCTCTCCTTCTCCCACTTTCTCTTTCTCTCTCTTCTCTCTCCCCTTCTTTTCCTCCTCTTTCTCTTTCCTTTTCTTTCTCTCTCTATTTCTTTCTCTCTCTCTCTCTCCTTTATCTCATTCTTTTTTTTTTTATCTCTTTCTCTTTTATCTATCTTTCTCTCTCTCTCACTTTCTCTCCCTTTCTCCCTCACTTTCCCCCTCTCTTTATCTTTCTTACCATTTATCTCTTTTTCTCCATCTGTCTTTCTCTATCTCTCTTTCTCTCTTCTTCTCTCTCTTTATCTCTCTCTTCACTTTTTTTCTTTATCTCTTTCTCTCTTTTGTTTCTCCCTTTTCTCTTCTATCTTTTCTCTTCTCTCTCTCTCTTGTCTTTCTCTCCCTTTTCTCTCCTACCTCTCTTTTCTCTTTTCTTTCCTATCTTTCTCTGTTATTTACTTTCTAGATGTTACCATTTTTAAAAACAAATCTCTTTTTTTAATTTTTTCTTTTCCTCCATTTCTCTTTCTTAATATTTAAGTCTTCTTTCTCTCTCTCTCTCTCTCTCTCTCTCTCTCTTTATTCTTTCCTTTGTCTATATATATCTAGTGGAAATCTTTCTTTTCTTTGTCTCTCATTCTCTCTCTTTGTTTCTCCTTTTCTCTCTTTCTCTATCTCTCTTTCTCTCTTCTTCTCTCTCTCTTTCTCTTTGTCTCTCCTTCTCTCTTTTTGTTTCTTCTTTTCTCTCTCTCTACCTCTCTTTCTCTTTTCTTTCTCTATCTCTTTCTCTCTGTTATTTACGTCTTAGTCTAGATGTATGCGTATTTCTTTGAGTGAACAATATAAACAGAAATTTTTTCCTCCTCAGTTCTCTTTTCCAAATTTTACAAATGTCATTTTACCACCCTTTTTAATTTTTTCTCTTTTTCCTCCATTTCCTCTCTTTAATATTTAAGTGTTTCTTACTCTCTCTCTCTCTCTCTCTCTCTCTCTCTCTTTGCTTCTATTCCTCTCTCTCTCTATATATATATCTAGTGGAAATCTATGACACTTTACTTTCAATTTTTAGTCTTTCTCTTTTATTTCTCTCTCCCCTTCTTTCCCCTCTACCTCTCTCTCATTCTCTATGACACATTCCTTTACATTTCTTCTCTCTCTCTTGCCATATCTCATCTCTCTCTCCTCTCTGTCTATCTCCTTTCCCCTTTATCTCTCGATCTTTCTCTAGAGTAAATCTATGATACGTTTCTTTCTATTTATCTATCTTTCTCTCTTTTCTCTATTTCCTCTCTCCCTCTCTCTTTTTATAATGTAAAACGCTTTCCTTCTAATATCTTCATCTCTCTTTTTCTCTCATTCTTTTCTCTCTGTCTTTTATCACTCTGTCTTCTTTCCCCCTCTCTCGTTCTCTTAAATAAATCTATGACGCCTTGCTTTCAGTTTACTCTCTCTTTTTTCTCTCTCCTCTTCTTTTCCTCCCCTCTCTCTTTTTATCTAGTTTAAATCCATGACACTTTTTCTTTCAATTTTTCCTCCCTCACTTTCTCTTTCTATTTCCATCTCTATTTTCTCTCTCGGTATTTTTCTGTATGTCATTTTATCCCTTCTCTATCTTTCTCTTTCTCTTTTCCGTTCCGTTTTTTTCTTTTCTTTCCTTCTTTCTCTTTCTCTTTTCTCTTTCTTTTTTCTCTCTCTCTTTACTATTTCTCACTTTTTCTCTTCCTTTCTCTCTCACATCTCATCTTCTTTCCCCTTCTCTAGCTCTCTTTCTCTCTCTGTAAAAAACTGCGGTTCGTTTGTAGAGTCCAACCTTTCTCTCTTTCTTTCTCATTTTTTTTCTTTTCTTTTATTCATTTTTTTTAAATTGCTTCTTTTTCATAGACTCCCCTCCCGTCTAATCATTTGTCTTTCTCTTTTCGCTCTCTCTGTTTCATTATAGAATCTCTTACTCTAACCATCATTCTCCTCTTGTCTGGCCTTTGTATGCTCTTACAAATATTAACGAACTTTCCTTTATACTTCGTAAAACCCGCATTGATTCTCTTGTTTTCATTCTTCTTGCCGATTGAAAGAGAAAAATATTTAGGACGGTTAATTCCAATATCTAAAATAAAGATTTTTACAACCTTCGTTATTGTCCATGCCTATATTTATATAAGATTCTATGTGGTGTCTAGAAAGGAACACCATCTACAAATGTGTAATTTTAATCCTAGCATACCCCTATGCAAATATTTGTTTTTCTTTTAACAACCATATCTTATTGGGGACGTGATCGGTTAGTTAGACCAAATCTTACTAATCATTTTTTAACTCTTAGCCGCAGTTTCGGAATAAAATACTGCTCGCGCCTTAGTAAAATTTATGTGAGAAAATGTAGATTTAAATAAAGCGATAGAGAACTAAATGCAGATAACAACGAATTAAAGCCATTATTATTGATAACTGTCTCCTCCAAATTTGCGGGTCCTAGTTACTCTACTCTTTATGCTTGATATAATTCAAAACTATCATATTCATAAAATAGGTACTTAAATATTTTTTTAACTATTTATACTGGGACTGATGCATGCAGTTACAAGTAATCCATAATATTTTAAATTTTTAAATCACAAATTATTTTTTGTGCATATGAATTTTTTAAAACTGTTTCTAATTCTTTGATTGGCTTTCAATCATTCGGTCTCGTCAGTTATCCTCTTCTACCGCACCTAAGAGGCGCGAGATCCTAAATCACCATGGTTGATTTCCTAATATATTCGAGCTGGAGAGACGATGGATGTGTAAGGCACCATCGGGAAATTTAATGAAACCTAAATGGAACTGTATTTGTGAGTTAGGGTGATGTACAGTATTGTCAGGAAATCCGTACCCTAGTTTTGGTTTGAATTCGGTTAGAAATTTTGAGTGATTAGGGAGACGATACAACACGGAACTCAGCAACTGTTGTACTATCAAGAGGTTATGAAATGTGAACGAGGTTTCAACCGAACAAGGTTTATTATACACCTGACCATGTTGTGCTTTCTTTCAGAAACTGTATCTGGCGGCCGCTCAATATAGTTGCAGTATGAACAACGGGTTGACTCTGTGAGTGTCGAAGAAATATACCTGAGTAGAAGTCTGTAACAGGAGAAGCTGTCTACCATAGGAGACGGACGTAAATGAAAAGAAGCATTCCGTCATATAGTCTTATATATTGGTTAAGCATTCCGTTACCGTCTCAGTTACGGAGACCATTACAGAAAGGTAAGATGCAGTTACCATTTTAAAGAAATGTACAGTCGTTAGAAATTTTCAATAACTATATCAGCTAAATTATACGTTAATACACTAAATTTCAACCAAGAAATTTCAGCACCTAATACACTTTTTTCGGTACGACAATATTCCGTATTTCTAAATAACAATTATTTTACACATAACGTTTGTATAAAGTCCACTTATAAATAATTTCTGTTTTCGTAATGGAACTAGCGAGACAAGCTTGCTAACAATTACACCAAGTCAAATTGCTCAAAATCATTTAGTATGAAAGAGTTTTCGACGAACTTTTGAATCTGGTTTTCTTTAGAGAATTTTTTTTTTCCCTATCAAAGTATTTGGCAGCCATTAAAACGAAGGAAATAATCGCGCGTTAGTCTATTAGCCTTCGGGTTATAATAGCCCGGATGTTAATAGTCTAACCAAGCGGTTCCCAAACTGTGCGGCAAGCTTTTTACGTGAGGTGGAAGCGGATATAGAGGGTAGGGTAGGAAAAAAACAGTCAAATTTCGACATTTATCGTATGATTTTCTTACTGTATAAGGCCTTGCTTTTTTAGGTAGGAGAACATAATATTTTCTATTTACAGGCGCAGGACGCTTCTCGACCAAACTGTTCTAAACCTGTTGCAGTTACTGAACATATAAATGTATATTTAGTGCTTCATTGTGATTTAACACTAAATGAGCTCTTAAAATGCAATGAAACCCTAAAAGTATATTTATATATCGAGTAATACCCGATTATACCATCAAATGCACAATATCCCCTTTCTACTAAGAAGCTCAGGCTTTGGTTTCAGTTGTGAAGGTTTATATTTGTCAACCTACTGGCTTTTGCGTTGAAAACTGTGTATGAAACACATTTTTCATTGCATGTTTTCACATATTTAAGAAATGGTTAGCGTGATAGATAAATTGTTACAATTGGTTCCCAAAACGGAAATTAATTATGACACAATATGAATATGCATTTATCTTCCCTAGAAAGACACTATCTGCGGCCTGCAATACTCAATTTGGGAAAACCCAAGAGTCATTGTTTCCTGTTCTTAGAATATATCCTTGATTGTACGAAAGGAATTCGTCCCGCTTGAATCTGGAGTGCTAAACATGGCTTCTTCAGAAACACAGAAGACTCTCCATATTATATGTTAGATACATTTTTTTCGTTCTACTTTTAATCTCTCTTACTGTCTAGATATATATTTTTCCGTGTATATATGTATGTATAATTTTGTGTACGATGTAATATAAAATTTTCTAAGAACAAAACGTTTGGCATTCATTTTTCCTTCAGCTATTCCGTTTAATCCGTGAAATACAGTGTTATTATATAATCGATATAATAATGTCCATAATGGGGAAAACTAAAAGGGCGAATATATATTTCTTCCAAACTCGCCAATTACATAGATTGCTTTGTCCCTAACTACAGTGCTTATCACATTAAAATTAATATTTGAGATCGGCTTAACATTTTTCTTTACATAAAGGTTCACTCTGTTCAAGGTCCAAGAGCTACTCAGAGTAAGAGGTATATTTTATCAGGATGTGTGGGGAAAATAACGGTTAACCCTAAACTTGAATCGGCTAAGATATTCGTGATCGGGGAAGCATCCTCTTCGAAGTTTGTTCCAGCGAGCAGCAGTTTGTTAGAAGCTGCTGCTCGGGTTAACCTTAAATCTTAACAATGGAATACAAAGGGACTAAGTCGCGTATTGCATAGACGGTATTTGCCCTGAAAGTTATTAATTGTGAAACTAAGCAATGTAGTTCGTGTGAATACTTTCCAATAAAGCAGCGAGAGAGAAAGAAGTTGTAGAGGGGGAAATAATCCATTACCCACAAGGACACTAGAACGCTCTTTGGCTGCAAAGGGAAGACTATGCAGCTTCTGCACATATATGGCAAAAATACTCCATTTTGGGTCTGACCTGGCTCTTGTAATAACAGAGGATAGCAGGCAGATTCAGATACTTACTGAGCGATATAAAAAATCGACCATTTTTACAGCATCTTTAACGATGGATCATATGTACGAGTTCCACTGAAGGTGTTTATTGAGCTTAATTCCCAATAAGATTTCAGGTCAGGGTGACTTCCTTAGAGATCATCCGTTCTTCACGATCGGCTAAAATTAAATAACTTCGACTCTGATAAATGCAGTTGTTACTAGACTGTAGCTGTTGTTCTTGCTATGTTGTCGTTAGATTTGGCTCATCATTGTATACAGGAGAAGTAAATTAGATCGGTATCGACATTCATTTAAAGACTGAAATATTTGGATGCAAGTTGTGAATGAAACATAACCAAATTTAACCTCTTGAGATATAAACTCATCTGTATGAACAAAAGTCCAGGTGCCCGTGTAGAAAAATACAGATTACTGTGTACGCATCCATTCTCTTTTTTATTAATACCAAATTTGCTTGTTTATACACATGGGAAAACAATCACAGATATGCGTATACTGCAATCACTCAGTATATACATATAAAAGCACACACACCAACGCGCATGCGCTCACTAGTTGTTCATTCATAGATTGACAATCGAAGAGGGACAATAACAATGACAGTTTTTTGTTTGTTTTATTTTATTTTTATTTTATTTTTTTATTTTATTTTTATTTTACTTTTGTTTTATTTTATTTTATTTTTGTATTATTTCTTTTCATTTTTTTTTTTTTTCATTTTTTATTCTTTTGACAAAATGAATTACATTGTCATGTCTTACGGCGTTGTTTACAAAAAATATTTTTTCCAACGCGTAAAAAAAGTGACAAGAAAAAATAAAAACAACAAGGCGGTCGTGTAAAGCTCAATAACGATTAAACAAAACAGACGCCAATTAATTCGTGAACTGACGAGATAAAATAATTCATGAAGTAATCAACAGAAAATTACGTCCAGTTCATTGAAATTGTTTGACAAATGTTTCGAGTGCGAACAAGTCGAAAGTTGGATGGGCCAGAAAATAAAATCGTAAGTGAAACGAGAAATGATATAAGATTTCTTCTGAACTAGGTCATTTTCATTATTATTATTAT